AAACGAAGAACTTGTTGATGCGGATGCCCTAAGCGTGCATGCCAAATAGCGGAAAATGCAACTTCAGAAGACAAATGGAATTGGTCAAGTAGATAGAGATTGTTCTTGAGAGATCCTTTACCAAAGATTGCTCCCGTCTTAGTATCCTGAAAAGAAACTTCGTGAGCATCGGAAATGGCTTTACAATTCAGATCAGAAGTCAATCTAGGAATGGAGAGTAAATTGGTTTTGAAATCAGGAACGTATAAGGCTGTGATATCTTTATCAAATAGCCGAATCGTACCCTGTCCAAGAATAGTCGAATTAATACCGTTGGCAACAGACACAATGCCAAAACGTTTTTCCAGAGAATTAAACAATGAAGCATCATGAAACATATGATTAGTGGCTCCTGAATCTATGATAATAGGAGAAGAATGAGATAGTTGAGCAGAGGAAGTGTTACCAGATTCAGAAGCTGATTGAATCAGGTGCTTTAGCGTCTTGAACTCTGCTTCTGAAAACATTTCAGTTGTTGCAGAATTCATGGCAGCTTGGCAAAGGTGAGGGACTGAATCACACTCCTGTCCATGACGGAATTTTGCAGGGCGAAGATGGGGGTGCAGAAGCCAACATTTGTCCTTGATATGGCCGGGCTTTTTACAGTGATCGCACAAGACAGGTTTCTTGTCGCGAATAGGGAAATGAGCCTTACGTAAATGAACGAGTTCAAGATTACCTTGAAAGAGATGTCGATCACCTTCCTCACGCTTAATAAGCATGCAGACCTCATTCAACGAAGGAAGCTCTGACTGACGGAGAACATGGTGAATAAGATCACCATAAGCACCATTCAGAGAGAGAAGAAGAGTATAAACCTTATCTTGCTCAATGCGTTTGGTGATAACTGACACATCGGTGGATACTGGCCGGAGTTCTTCAAGTTCCGGCCATAATGCACTAAGTTCACCAAGCAGATTGTTGAATGGCTTGCCACTTTGCTGGATGGTATGAAGAGACTTTTTGATTTCGTAGGTCCGGCTTGAATTAGAAAGATTGTCGTAAACCCCTTCAAGGGTATCCCACAGATCTTTTGTTGTGTCTTTGTGTATGTAGGTGGAGAGGATAGCTGCTTCAAGGGAGCTATGGATCAGCGAGAGTACAAGCTGGTCCTCCTGAAACCAGGTAGCCTTTTCCTTTGTTGTTTTTTCAACAGTCACCGTCGTGCCATCTTCCCGAGTCACCGTAACTGGAGCCGAAGGTTTGATATGTTCCCAAAGGCCGCGACTACAGAGAGTTGTTTTGGCTGCCTTCGACCAAATAGAGTAGTTGTTTCCGGTGAAAATCATCGGAATCAACCGTTGAGAGGTGTTCTCCATTGAATTCAAAGAAAAAAAAAAGAGGAAACAAGATTAAAAATGAGAGGAATTGGATCAACGCTCTGATACCATATAGGAAATCAGACCAAGAGAGTGAAGATTAGGGATTTGAAGATGCGAAGAACATCGTTATTCCATCAGTTTCTGAAGATGTACATATAAATAATACAGAGGAATAAAAGACAAAGAACAATAATAAGGAAAATTGCATAGAAAAGGAAATTGAAGAATAAGAGAAAAAATCAGAATCTGTCAAAGGAGGAAGTTTGCTGATTCGCTCCAGGATTCATGTGCGTGACGAAGCCGACATGATTGGAGAAGACGGTGAAGAGCTGAAGTCTTGGTGATGTTATTTTTCAGGCCCATATTCAGGCCCATATCCACTAATATTGATAGCCTCATGGACAGTGGCATAGAGGGGAACCCTTAAAGACCTAGGACCATTAGCCCCAATTTGGTCTAAAGAGCCCCCATCCTCGTCCAGTTATCATACCAAAATACCGCAGTCCGACCGTTACCGAGAACACATTTGAGAAAATCCTTTGCCTTGTCTCTAGACCCAAGAAGCTTCCTAAGGTGACAAGACTGGTGCTGCGAACTCGTAACTCCCCAGAAGCCCCTCCTTTTGAAGATGTTTTCCTTCAGCCAAGCCATCCAAAGAGACCCCGATTCTTTAAAAATCATCCAAATGCTTTTTAGCCGAAAGATGTAACTGAAGTCCTCCAATCTCCTAATGCCCAACCCCCCTTCCTCCTTCGGCTGACACACTAGCTTCCATGCAATTCTTGCTTTGCTTCTTACTTCCATGGAGTTCTTCCATAGAAAGGTTGAGCACATCTTGTCTATCTCCCTCAATAAATATTTCGGCAGCATAAACACTATGCTCCACGCATTCACCATCCCGTATATTACTGACGAAATTAGCTGGTTTCTCTCTGAATATGATAGAAATTTAGTGGTCCAAGATGAAATCCTCTTCTTGACCCTCTCAAGTAGTGGCGTGAAGTCCTGCCGGTGCAGTTTCCAAAGGCCTAAGGGGATCCCTAGGTACCGGACAGGCAGCTGACCAAGGTTGAGACCTACCGAAGAGCTGATATCCCGAGCTTCCTGCAATGTCAAACCCCCCAGAAACAAGTCACTTTTGATGTGATTCAGCGTCAAGCCAGAGTACTTCCCAAATTCACCTAGCAGCTCTTTCGCACGAATGATTGAGTCCATTTTTCCCTCAACAAAGATCAACAAGTCATCTGCAAAAACAAGGTGTGAGATCAGTGGGGAGGCACACCTCGGATGCGGTGAAAGGCTCCCTTGGCGCATGGCAGCATCTAATGATCTTGACAGTGCCTCCATCGAGATAATAAATATGTACGGTGACAAAAATATGTTTTTATTCGTTTTGTTACTTTATTTGTTAAAGTCAACTAATTTCTCCATTTTTTTCTTTTCTTTTTTTTGTGTATCTTGTCTACATGAAAGGCCACGCGAGGTTTGACAAAGAAGAGTAGGAGAGGGGGGGGGG